CTCGTTGTACTGCAGCCGTTTGGCTTTTATATGATATTCATGTTGACGCAGTCCACGAGACTTCCTCCCTACTTACGGATGAAAACGTGCTGAGCTTTCGTCCATCATATGATGGAAACTAAACAGCCAACCAATTATTAATTAGTCAACAGTCACGAATTTTCATGGTATATAAGAAGTAAATAATGAGCTAAGAGGAAAAAATTGAACGAAGAGTATGCCTGACCATTCTAAACTAATCTGGAGGCACTTTAACATCAAAAAGGTCAGGGATATTCACTCAAAAAACCCTATGTTGCGGCAATCATTCCGACACCATTTACTGGCTATTTTTCATCTTGAAATTACCTACCACATGAGCCCTTTGATACTTAACAAATTTATGCTAAAATTTACTCTTTCTCGACTCCTCATCGTAGATTCTGAAAGATATATGTAACTTTGAAGTATATTTTGGTAAAAAATGTCAGCTAGCTATAAAGCCTTGCTTGACATTCATTATGAAAGTTAATTAATACAAGTCAAGATGTATTTAAAAGCTCCTGGTATGGCCAGAGTCATCTTATTTCATTACAATATGGCCCGCATAAAAGAGCCTAACGCTAGACAGAAAAGATATTCCTTTTGCTTTAAGAAACCAACAGTTCGATTTATAAACGCAATAAACCAACTTTTATTAACAATTAGCATATAGTGTCACGATTCTTCTTCTCTGGTTTTGACAAACCCATAGGAAAAAAAGTAAAACAATTTATAGTGAGCATAGGCTGAAAAAATCAAGAAAATATTATTTTTCGGTTGAATAATGAATATTTTTTTATTTCACTCTTGATCATTACCATAATTACTAAAGGATAGGTAGACACGTTAAAATTAGACTTCTTCGCCTCTGTGAGGCAACTTTTTACACCTTCGAGTGTCTACCGGCAGTTGGAATCTTCCACATGTAAAGAAGCGCAGTTTAAAAGACCAGAAAAAAGCGCGCAATTGAAAAAATAGTGTGAATTGCTTAATGTTCATAAAAGAGTGACGCAAAACGGTTTGTTTGGTACACCGGAACGTTCTAACGTAATTCCGAAGGTGATAGTTAAGGCTTGAAATTTTTGTTGTAAGAATATTTTAGATGTATAAACCCCAAAAAGTTGTCTGGAAAAGCAATATTTTTGTGAAGCATGAAGTAATGTTGTTTAAAAATGTCTTGCGTTAACAGCCGTGAAAGGAGAATAAGCTAAATGAATTAGGAATTGCAGTTGTGCAAGTGTCGCTGATAGATGACATGTTGGTGATAAAGAAGAGGAGGTAAATGAACACGCAACAAACAAGATATCTGAGTTCCCCATGTGGTTGTGAAAGACTAAAGGCAAAAGTGCAAAGCTTTTAGGCTGAACCGCCTCAAAAAACGTATCAAATAAAAAAGCAGTTAGTGGAAGATGACTCAGCAGCTATTTATAATGAACTTTACACAAATAACTTAAGCAAATTTATTGGTATGGAGTGGTGTAATGTAAAATTTTCAAGTAGGCCATGCAACATATTAGAGTAAGCCAGCCTCAAGAGAGAAGATACCACTCTGTGTGATTATAACCGGGTCGTAATTGCCTTAGTGGAATGTAAACCCGGCCAATGAGCACTTTGTCGAATGCCGCCGAGTGCCAGGCCGAGATCTCTAGAGAGCCGTTAACTACGTCCATATTCGTCAAGGCATAGGAGAACTGGCCATAAATAAAGAGAAAGTAAAGGCAATTGGACTTAAAAACAACAAAAAATCAAACACAGATACCTTTCAGACTTTAATTAGGGCTGCCATCCATACAGGTGATGGCGCCTAAGGCAGGACGGGGGCATCCTTCAAGAATAACCAATTTCTTTGCTTTGACCGTAGTGTAGATGCAAGACAAGGCTGTGAGATTTCTAGTCTTAAATGAAGCAGATAACCATTAGCCCAGATTGTTTCAATAGATTTACTTTAGGGCTCGACATTATCTTTAGTCTAATCCAGTTAATGGACTGGCTGGACTGAGTACACACACACACACACACACACGAAAAGTGTCTCTACCAGTAGGGATATTCACCGAGCACAAGCCCGTGTGGGAAAAATTCAACTACCAGTCCCAATCACCTTAAACGCAATATAGTGTATATATCTCATATATAATAGCATCCTGTGATATACTAGTTGTCAATGCCAATCAGACATTCATTCATCAAGGCAATAAAGGGGGAGAGAATAATTTTGTCTAAGCGTCACTTTGGCCACCCCCGGTGACTTACTTTCCGAATGCACTCATAATACGTCTTTCGCAAATTTGTTTACATGACATGTTGAGGTCACAGCTCTTGCTGTTTCTTGCTCAAGTATTCACAGACTTGATACATGCATTGACCTATCATCTGCAGAACCTTATTTACCAAATGGTCTCCACAACTCTCGTGCTTAGAGTGCCTTGTCGATTCAGATGTTTGTAGTGGCCGCAGAAGTGTGCCCGCGGTTACAAGAACTTATATGCCCACAGCCTAGCAAAGTTAAAGGCACCTAGACACAAAAAAAGCAGAACTTGATTCGCTACGGCCTGCAATGCTAGTTCTTGAGTTAACATGCATATTTTCGGGCACTAGAGCACTGTACTATGCTTTAAAAATGATTCTTAACAATAAAGCCTAAGAGTATATAATACATCCCTAGAAATCTCGAATGACTTTAGAAAAATGGTTGGAAGATTCCAATGAAAAGGCTCC